TGAAAAAAGTGCCACCAGGCAGATCACCAAGGTTTTGTTCATAAAGATAACCCTTAAGAAGCCAGCAACAGCAATGAGGTAGGCAAAAAGGATTCTTGAATTCTGCCCTCAAAGTACACGGGGGAAAGTTTGCTGCTTTGTCTCAGGTGGTGTTGGTTGGGATGATTACAATAAACCCACTGCTTTTGAGTCAGCTCTGGCTCCTAGCCGCCCTGGAGGACAGAGCAGAACTGCCCCGTGTGTCTCTGAGACTTTAAAGTGCTAGAGCACTGAGGCAGTAAGAGCACTCTCTCTGAAGGCTGACGGTTTCTGCATGTCGGCCCTGTTAGATCTGAGCTTCTGCTTGGTTACAGGCCATGATTTCTTCTACAGACACATGTTTGCCTCTGTCTCCATTCCTTCTGCTCGAGGCTGTCTGGTCTTCCTTGGACTTGCTGCTATTCTAACCCCACAGGGTAAACCTTTTCTGGCTGCAGAGCTTCTTCTCTTGGTTTTGCTCATGCTAAAGTCTCAGCTTAAATCTCCTTGCCTGCGTGTGACCACCTTGTACTAGGTTAGCTGAAGACTCCCATAGATTTCCTTTTGCTATTTGCTGTTGTAACTACCTGACATTGGTGTATCTTCTTCACAAAGTTTTAACTCATGCCCAAGACCTTGGCTGTGCTTGTCTGAGTGTAGTGAAAAAAACAAACAAACTGACATTTCAGGGAAAAAGATGTGTTTCTGGTAAAGCATGTCACAATGGGCACATTTAGTATTCATTACATGCAGTATTACCAGTGCTGGTTTCAGGGTAGAGTTTTGCAGCAGACACCTGTTTGAAAGGGATATGTGACCTGCAATAGTGTACAATGTAGGTGCCACTGACCTTGAAACTGAATAGTTTAATGTTCTCAAGAAACTTATTTATAGATAATGGAAAACTTCTATACAAATATGGGAAGGAGACCCAGCAACTGGGCAAGAATAAGAGATACATTTTCTATCTTTCACCAACAGCACCTTTTTTGTTCTAAAGCACTTAATGTTACTTTACTTGTTAAAGTATGCATGAGCATTTGTGGGAAGGCCTGGGAAAAAAGAGGTACCATTTAAAACATTGTTCAGTGGGACACTGTATTCCAAGTTCCAATTAAGTGACCTACAAACAAACTTTTGGAGCTTGCACATTCACAGTTAGTTGCTCTACTTTTGGCCTCCCTTTGTTAGCATTTAGTTTTAAAGAGCTGAATGTTTGCACTCCCATGGGTCTTTGATTTTTAAAGACACTCATAGAAGTTTGGGATTCTCTTACTATTGGAAAATCATGATTTTGTATTCTTATGGCATAGAATCTGAAAATGCATGATAATGTTTATATGAAAAATCTAAATTATAAACCTATTTAAGGAAGTGTTTCTTTAATACCGGTAGTTAAAAAATCAGTTTAAAAATAAAGAAGAAAAAATTTTGATGAAATTCTAAGGCTTGAATGTCTTTTAAGTCATTAAAATTGGTTATTAATCTAGCTGGATTTACCCTTGTATCTGCTTTATAGGCTTTTAAAAAAAAACCATTTTATTGGGGGCTCGTATAACTCTTATCACAATCCATCCATCCATCCAT